GGCTTGCATTGCCCCAAAGATATATAAGCCTTGGTTAGCAATAAATCACTATCTCATGCCCTCTCTGCTCACGCTGTGCACAGACCAGTCTGTTGAGATCATGGCCTTCCAGGAGGTAAGCATGCTACCATGAAATGTGTCTGACTTCTTTATTTTACTCTCTCTCTCCCATCTCTATGACTTTACTATGATCTTTATATAGCTCAACTGAGCCTACCAAACCCGTAATTAGTTGGCTGGGGCTGGCTTCCCCCACATTGGAAGAAAACGCTGTTGTTGGGATCTACCAAATCAATTTGGATTCATGGCCACTTCCTGTGACAGCAGAAGTGGGTTTTCTAGGATATAATCTGTATGTGAGTAAACTACTAGGACTTTCTCCTGCAGAGTAACAGGTGGATTAGAACCCCTAACCTGTGGGTCTGTAGGCAAGTACTACCACTGAGACCCTTAGAAGAAAATATGGAACATCCTTATTGTCACAGGAGAAAAATCCCTTACCAAATCCAAAAATGAAATTAATCTTAAAGGAAAAGATGACCATTCTGATTCCATCAAATGATGAACTTCTCAACACGTAAACCAGGATGGTGTAGACAGGTCAGTGTTGGACTGTTAACCACAAGGTCTAAAGTTCAAGCCCACCATTTCCTTCACGACCCTCCCTTCCACCACCACCACACACCCCACACTCCACTCTGGGACTTTGTACTCCTTTATTGTCAGCTGGGGCCTCTAAGTTCCTTCAAGCTTTAGATCAATTTGTTTCTAACCTCTAAGACGACAGACACACACTCCCTTCAATATTTGTTTACCTTCTCCTTTCCCTTTTCCTTTCCGAAACGGGGCATCTTGATCCTTCCCCACCAGCAGGGAATTCTGTCATTTTAATTATTTTACTGAGGGGTGGGTGCATTGTAAGTATATGGTCTCCCATCATCTTAGAAGCTCCTCCCTAGCCTGCGTTGTATCACAGACATTCAGAGGGTCAATTCTATCCCAATTAAACTTATCCAAACAGCCTCTCCACAAAGTTCTCCTCATGCTAAAGTTCTGCTGTCAGCTTCTAAGAAAATTCTAATTTTTCCATGCCATTGAGTCTATACTGACTCCTATTGACCCTATAAGACCAGGTAAAACTTCCCCTGGGGGTTTCCAAGACTATTAACTCTGCTTTATGAAGGCAAAATGCCTCAACTTTCTCCCAAGGAGCATCTGGTGGTTTTGATCTTCTGACCTTGAGGTTAGCAAGAGCAGTTGTGGCGCAATCTCTTTCTCTATGGAGATGGTGTATTATCAGCTTTATCTGTATCCTCTCAACTGTGGAGCTTTCCCTCTAACACTAGTGCTGGTCTTCCAGGCCCTGTGGTCACAAGTGTAGAGATTAGGCCGCATCCACTTTCGTCCAGGTTCTCCTTTGTCCACAATTCCGTCCAGGTTCTCCTTTGTCAACAATTCCCCCTTTAGTTTGATGTTTTAAATCCAAAGGGGCTCCTTACTCGACATGGCTACTGTCTTCATGAAGTAGCCTTCTGTGAAAGCAGCGGGTAAATGTCAAGACAAAATCATTGACAATAAGAAACACAGCCAAACCAGAACCCACACTATGTGCAAAACTCTGTACTTGGGCCTGGGGTCAAGCCCCTGTAGCCAACCACCAATTGTCTAATCATGCCAGTGCTAAGGGATGCTTTTAACCAACCCCTAAATGTATTGAAAAGTTCCCTTTTAGTTGTTTGACATCTAATGAGATGATTCCTTAAATGCTGCGGATAGTTTCTAATAAGAGATAATCAGATAAGGTTTCATCCTATGGATAAGGGGTTACACAAAAGTCTATAATGTTCCAGTCCCGTTACAGCATCAATTGATGCTGCAAGTCTGTAATACGATCTCCTAACTGTTGAGCAGTTTGTGGTAGTTCAGCCACTTTCCCTTCCAATTCATCCTCCACCTTTGCCTGAGTGGCCCAGAGCTGATGGAAGTCACTTTGCCACTTCTGCACAAATGTTCAGTTTTGATAGACTCCTGGAG